GTCTCCACATGCTTCCTTGTATCCTTCTCACTTGCCCTACCTGTTCCTCAGGCAGATGCGGTATCTTCCCTTGAAGCATAAGATGTTGAAGATGAGTACTCGAGAGCAATGCCAGGTAAGTAATCAGGTAAGGGGTTCCAGGCAGTCAGTTTCTGGCTGGAAGCTTGATTCCAAGTGCTGACTGATTGCTCTCTTTCTCCTTGTCTTGCAGGTAAGAACAAGGCCAAAGTAAAAGACAGGGAAAAAGCATGATATGGGATACTCTTGCTTTTAACCCTGATGATATGAGATATTCTTGCTCTAGTATAGGTTGTTTGCAGAGGTATTATCGGGGGGAAAGAAAGCTGAATATTTCGAAAGGCTTCTTTGGGAGTGCCCTCTCAGATATGAGAAAGGGTTGAGCATTTTTGCAGGTCTGCCTGTCCGTTGGGGATGGAGGTCGACATATATAGGAGTCTCCCTAACAACAAGTAATAATGCTATTCCTTTACCCTGCTTGGTCATAGCACGGTAGTGGGAGCTGTCAGCTTCACATGTTTTAACTCTGTCAGAGCACTTTGAAAAAGTGGTCTGTGGTATCTGGAAAGCTGATGTTGCGTGTGAAGATTACAGACAAGCTTTATCCAAGGAGATCCGGCTCTTGAAGTTGGGAAAGTGGTGCCTCTTCGGTTTTCGAACAAGCAATCCTATCGGGGATCTGGCTCTCGAGATTCGGAGAACGATGCCTCTTCGATTTTTGAGAAAGCAATCATGCTGGGGGTCTGGCTCTCGAGATTCGGAGAGCGGTGTCTCTTCGATTTTTGAGAAAGTAATCATGTTAGGAGTCTGGCTCTCGAGATTCGGAGGGCGGTGCCTCTTCGATTTTGGAGCAAGCAATCTTGTTGGGAGTGTTTTCTCGAATGTGAGTAAAGGTTGGGCATGTTTGCTAGTCTACCTTGCCACGAAGCACAGATGTTGACACACAGGGACTTTCCAATTATCCAGTAATGGTACTGTTCCTTTACCCTCTCTTTAATTTTTGAGAAAGTAGTCATGTTGGGAGTCTGGCTCTCGAAATTCGAAGGACGGTGCCTCTTCGATTTTGGAGCAAGCAATCTTGTTGGGAGTGTTTTCTCGAATGTGAGTAAAGGTTGGGCATGTTGCTAGTCTACTTTGCCACGAAGCACAGAGGTTGACACACATGGACTTTCCAATTATCCAACAGTGGTACTGTTCCTTTACCCTTATGGGTAATAATATGGTAGCTAGACCTTCAAAATTTATGTGTCTAAACTTTGTTAGTACTGTTTCTTTGCTATTCTTTTACCCTTCTTAGTCAGAGCGATGCAGTGGGAGCTGCAAGCTTCACTTGTCTCAACTTTGGCAGAGAACTTTGGCAAAGTTATCTGTGGTACCCATGAGCTACTGTTGCGTGTGAGAAGTGGGTGATTGAACAGTAAGATTCATGTGCTTTCTACTTCACCAGAAGTCTTCGACAGAATGCTCATAATTTCCGCAAAGCTGAGTGTGCGTGTGACAAGTGCTGACAAGGCTAGAAAAGTAGGTGCCTCTTCGATTTCTGAGATCAGCCCTCGTGGTCTCTGAGCAGCCCAACTTTTGAGAAAGTAAGCGCCTCTTCGATTTCTAAGATTGGCCTTCGTGGTCTTTGAGCAACCCAGCTTTTGAGAAAGCAAACGCCTCTTCGATTTCTGAGATCGACCCTCGTGGTCTCTGAGCAGCCCAGCTTTTGAGAAAGTAAACGCCTCTTCGATTTCTGAGCAGGCGCCTCTTCGATTTCTGAAACTCCGTCGAGTGCAGATTTTTATAGGGGCTGGCATTAAGTTCCAAAGCACACTTGAATCTCCACCAGTAGAAGCTCCATTCTTGCACTTCTAAGATCTTGATTTGTCCGACCTCTTATCTCTTCAACACCTTTGAAAATGTCTGGCCCCTCCGACCGTCGTTTTGACTTGAACCTTGTTGGAGAGGCAGCCTCGCCTTCTCCAGACAACATATGGCGCCCATCCTTCGTCTCCCCTTCTGGTCCTCTTACCGCTGAGGATTCCGTGATGAAGAATGATATGACCGCTGCGGTGGTGGCCAGGAACCTTCTCACTCCCAAATATAACAGACTACTTTCCAAACGGTCTGATGAGTTAGCTTTTAAGGATTCTCTGGCTCTCAGTGTTCAGTGTGCAGGTTCTGTGTCTAATATGGCCCAACGCCTATTTGCTCGAACCCGCCAAGTTGAATCTTTGGCGGATGAAGTAATGAGTCTCAAACAGGAGATTAGAGGGCTCAAGCATGAGAATAAACAGTTGCACCGGCTCGCACATGACTATGCTACAAACATGAAGAGGAAGCTTGACCAAATGAAAGAATATGATGGTCAGGTTTTACTTGATCATCAGAGATTTGTGGGTTTGTTCCAAAGGCATTTATTGCCTTCGTCTTCTGGGGCTGTACCGCGTAATGAAGCTCCAAATGATCAACCTCTGATGCCTTATCCTTCTAGGGTTCTGTCTAGTACTGAGGCTCCGAATGATCCCCCTCCGGTGCCTTCTATTTCTGGGGCTCTACCGACTGCTAAGACTTCTCCTAAGCAACCTTTGTGAAGGCTCCCTCTTGTTTGTTTATTTTGACTCATGTATATGTACATATTTGTAACTTATCGGGGATATCAATAAATAAGCTTTCCTTCATTTCAACGTATTGTGTTAAATACACCAAAGCCTTCTTCGCTAAGTTCTTTGAATTTTCTTTTGTTGAAGCTTGTATGTTGGAGCTTTGTGAGTGGAGCATGTAGGTTGACGTAGTGTTCCCTTAATTTCCCGAGTGAGGAAAACTTCTCGGTTGGAGACTTGGAAAATCCAAGTCACTGAGTGGGATCGACTATATGAATCTTAGAACGCCATTGTTCTCGGTCCTGTGTCATGTCCTTCGTTAGATCCAAGTACTCTAAGACTTTTCCTAGATCTTCCTCTACCCCTTCGGCCCTGAACCTCTGTCCCATAGTCGTATCTTCTAATCGGAGCGTCAGTAGGCCTTCTTTGCACATGTCCAAACCACCGTAACCGATTTTCTCTCATCTTTCCTTCAATTTCGGCTACTCCTACTTTACCCCGAATATCCTCATTCCTAATCTTATCCTTTCTCGTGTGCCCACACATCCAACGAAGCATCCTCATCTCCGCTACACCCATTTTGTGTATGTGAGGATGCTTCACCGCCCAACATTCGGTGCCATACAGCATCGCCGGCCTTTTTGCCGTCCTATAAAATTTTCCCTTGAGCTTCAGTGGCATACCGCGGTCACACAACACGCCGGATGCACCCTTCCATTTCATCCATCCAGCTTGTATTCTATGGTTAAGATCTCCATCTAATTCTCCGTTCTTTTGCAAGATAGATCCTAGGTAACGAAAACGGTCGCTCTTTGGTATTTCTTGATCTCCGATCCTCACCCCTAACTCGTTTTGGCCTCTATTGGCACTGAACTTGCACTCCATATATTCTGTCTTTGATCGGCTTAGGCGAAGACCTTTAGATTCCAACACTTCTCTCCAAAGGTTAAGCTTTGCATTTACCCCTTCCTGAGTTTCATCTATCAACACTATATCGTCTGCGAAAAGCATACACCAAGGAATATCATCTTGAATATGTCCTGTTAACTCATCCATTACCAACGCAAAAAGGTAAGGACTTAAGGATGAGCCTTGATGTAATCCTACAGTTATGGGAAAGCTTTCGGTTTGTCCTTCATGAGTTCTTACGGCAGTCTTTGCTCCTTCATACATATCCTTTATAGCTTGGATATATGCTACTCGTACTCCTTTCTTCTCTAAAATCCTCCAAAGAATGTCTCTTGGGACCCTATCATACGCTTTTTCCAAATCTATAAAGACCATGTGTAAATCCTTTTTCCCATCTCTATATCTTTCCATCAATCTTCGTAAGAGATATATTGCCTCCATGATTGAGCGCCCTGGCATGAACCCGAATTGGTTGTCCGAAACCCGTGTCTCTTGCCTCAATCTATGCTCAATGACTCTCTCCCAGAGCTTTATTGTATGACTCATTAGCTTAATACCCCTATAGTTCATGCAATTTTGTACGTCGCCCTTATTCTTGTAGATAGGCACCAAAGTGCTCGTTCGCCACTCATTTGGCATCTTCTTCGTTTTCAAAATCCTATTGAAAAGGTCAGTGAGCCATGTTATACCTGTCTCTCCCAAAACTTTCCACACTTCGATTGGTATATCGTCTGGGCCTACTGCTTTTCTATTCTTCATCTTTTTCAAAGCTACAACCACTTCTTCCTTCCGGATTCGACGATAAAAAGAGTAGTTTCTACACTCTTCTGAGTTACTCAACTCCCCTAAAGAAGCACTCCTTTCATGTCCTTCATTGAAAAGATTATGAAAATAACCTCTCCATCTGTCTTTAACCGCGTTCTCTGTAGCAAGAACATTTCCATCCTCATCCTTGATGCACCTCACTTGGTTTAGGTCCCTTGTCTTCTTTTCCCTTGCTCTAGCTAGTTTATAGATATCCAACTCTCCTTCTTTGGTATCTAGTCGTTTATACATATCGTCGTAAGCCGCTAACTTAGCTTCTCTCACAGCTTTCTTCGCCTCTTGCTTCGCTTTTCTATACCTTTCACCATTTTCATCGGTCCTATCCTTGTATAAGGCTTTACAACATTCCTTCTTAGCCTTCACTTTTGTTTGTACCTCCTCATTCCACCACCAAGATTCCTTTTGGTGTGGGGAATAGATATGAATTGCTTCGAGAGCAGCTTTACTTTTCTAATTGCCATCGGTTGGGTCATAATGCAAGGAACAGCATAATGTTTGATGCACTGCTTAGAATCATGCGAGTGGCAACTGCGGCTTCAAAGTTAAAAGAAGAAGAGCAAGATTACGTATGTCTCTCTCTCTCTCTCTCTCTCTTAAGTAACATGATGTCAATCAATGTTGCAGGGAAAGTTTAAAGAAGAGGAAGATTACGTATCTCTCTCTCTCTCTCTCTCTCTGTTAAGTAACATGATGTCAATCAATGTTGCAGGAAAAGTTTTCTGAGCCCTTAGTTACCGTTGTATGGCCGGGATATGCAATTCCATTTTGGTTCGAACGTAGTAGTGGGCTATTTTCGTACGAGTGTCATTCTAGTGAGAATGAATGTCATCCTAGTGAGGAGAAAGAGATCCGTCATCGTAGTGGGGGAAAAGAGATCCTCTTCCGGCTACGGGGCTTTAATAAATGTTCAGCTTCCTGCAAATTGGTTTCGTGAAGGTTTCTTGGGTTTCGCTCTATCTGTTGTTGCATCCACTATCAATGTTAAACAGTGAGTGCGGTTTGGATGCAAGTACAATTTCAAAACTAAAGAGGGGGAAAGTCATGAAATCAATTGTTATTTCAATTGTCCATGGGAAGACGGAGAATATAGTTGCAGATTAGAAAAAAAGCATGTGTTCGTATTGTATAAAGACCTTGAATATGAAGAGGGAGCAAAATGGTCCTCTGATTTTTACTGCCGTGTCACTGAGGTGTCTCTTCTCTTCTACCGAGATGCACACTATACAATGGAAAAGTGGGGCATATGCCCGTTGTATGCCGAAGATGCTAAGGAATTAAAATTTGATATCATGTCGCGATAAGAACAAGAAGAGCCCGCAGCAAGTGGGAGTGGTAACTTTGTAACTTGAATCAATTTCTACTTGGGACTATTTCTTTTCAAATTTTTATTTTTGTGTTTTTTATAGGAAGGGATATCCATTATATAAACTTCAGTTTCTACTTATGACTATCGGATTTCAACAAATCTTATAGACAAGCGATGACTCTGATCATTCATAATCATATTTTGCAGGGCGGATGTATTGAGCACACTTAAGGGGATCATATTGAGGATGTAAAAAAGATGGTAGACTTCGGCCAAATGCATGGTGATTTATGCGCAGCAGATGGAATTAGAGTTCTCTGTGATAGGTCTCTCATATGGAATCATTCGAAATGGGAAACCATAGAGATGGATGATATGGCACAAGAAATGGGTGATATGACACAAGAAATGGGTTGGGTAATTGTTCACAAACAATATATTGAAGAGCCTAGAAGACGTGGTAGGTTGTTCATTACTAAAGATATCTATCATGTATTGAAAAATAACACTACAAGTGCATTCACGTTTTCTTTTGATGTATGTGTGGACTGTATAGATTAAATCTTTTGTTTATTAAAATCTTCTAACATTTTTAATGTAAATAATATTAATCGTCTATGATAATTTTTTTTTACAATTTCTAATTCCACAGTAACGCTCGGGTACCAATTTCTAGTAAACACTATTTGTCGTCAATTCAAGATAATATAAAAAGAAACTACACCTGTGCAGTGTGCAGTGGTCACAAGTACCAATTTTGGGCAATCAGCCAAATAGTGCTTATCCTCTCGAAGATCTGCATATCTATCCATTATAAACCAATCTTTAGTCTTGCAGAAAATATGCTGACAACACAATCTGCTCATGCAGTTAATTTTAAGAAAAACTAATGAAAAGAGCTTGAAAACTTTGAGTTTTAATGATAAGGACAAAATAAAGGGTAAAATAAATAGTACCAGATTTGACTTTTTAGTGTAAAAAATGTGGTTTTTCATTAAAATGAACAGTATCACGGGCTTTTCGTTAAAACTCCCTTAATTTTAATGTTTTCCGTCATCACCATTGTTACAAATCAAATCCTATGTGCAGGTTTATGCTATAATACATAACTGAATAAGATAGTTGTATTAATACGTGTTTGTTATTTCCCTTTCAACATGTTTGGATCTCACTCCTCAAAGAAGAGATCAGACTTTTATGGACACAAAATGTATCACAAAGTATCACTTTAACCACTCACAAAACAACTAATAACATCTCTCGAATCATTCATTGTGCATATTGATGTCATTTTAATATAGAACCTTTTAGTAATCTAAGTTCATCAAAGTGTATTTCCAACAAAATACACATACCAAATTGACACTTAGTTTCGCATGATACAACAAAATAGAGTATAAATACACCAAATGAAAGGACTTTTTCATTCCCAATGGCCATTTGTATGGGTTTGGCTTGCTTTTAGTAACCCAACGACAAATAAAAAACCCTTTTGTGCCTTGAAGCTTAGAAATGCAGAATACCCATAGCCAAAAACTCAGTAAAAAAGGCATGGAATTGATAACCCATTAAAAAAAACAACAAAGAAAGCAATTGGGTTACCATAGTCAAGCACTCTCATTCGCCTTGAAATGGGGTACCACCATAGACACATATCCAAACCAGGTGCTGCATCACGAAATTCCTTCTCAACTTGCTTTATGCGTTCTCTTGTTGAGGCCAAAACCAAATCCAAAGGATACTTTCCACACCCATATATAATCGAACATAAATCGCATACACACTCCAATTACCAAAAAGAAAATGTTGCAAATGGGAAATTAGATAATGATATTGAAAACCCCTATCGAAGCACATTAATTATCTAACTAATGAATGTGATTCGAGATACAAACCCATGTTTGGCATTGTGTATGTGGATTTTATCCAATATGGGAACCCCAAACGCATGACGGATCATATCCCGCCCTTGCATCGCTGGTTCCAACACAGCATCTATACACAAAATCCCCAAAAAAAATAAATTAAAACATAGTTCATATACAAATCAACTAACGAATAACAAAAGCAAAAAACATATTTTTCAATCATTTTCTCATCAACCAAACAGAGCACATATTGGGAAATGATTAATCACCTGTATGGGGAACAACTTGCTGATACCCTTCATGGCCAAAGCGAACACGATCTCCTATAATTTCCTCATAATTCATTTTTCTTTTACAATTACTGGATAAATGCAGAATTTGGATGGGTTGCTGTCATTTCATACACAAATGCCAAATTTGGATGTTGTAACATCAGTGGAAGATCAGGCTACAAATTCAAAACACAAAAACCCAGACTAAACACATTTATGATCAAAACAATGGAGTGCCTTCCAGCAGTTTTATGCACCTTGAGAGGTTGCCTTAGCTTCCCAGCGAGTGTCATAAACAATGTGGTCTTCCCACAGCCCGGACGGCCAAGCAATAAGGTCATCCTGCAATGAAAAGAACCCAAATTTGTTTTTTTTTTCCAGAAATTAACAGGAAAAACTAAAAAATTTGGAAACAAAATTAATTCAAATGATTAGGGAGTCTGCAAATTGCTACCAGTCGATGATTTTGCGGAAGAGAGCTCTGACTTGGCCGAAAAAGAAGACCCATCAGGTACTACATATCGAGGAAGGAGGAGGAGGAGAGACGCCTTTGATACGGCTGCGGCGGAGAAGTGGGGCGACGTTGGGAGGGGGGAAGTTGGTGGTGAAGGGGTAGGTGGAGTTGAAGAGGCAGTCAAGGAGGGGTTTGGAAGATGAGGCGAGGAAGGAGAGGGGCGTATGAAGGGACTGATCAATGGTAGACGAAGAGAGAAGTCGAGATTTTTCCATCCCGTTCCCTTTCTGCGATCACCGACACGGGAAGGATGAATGAATTCGTAAATTACCGTGCAGGGGTGTATTCAATTTGGATTTTGAGAGATTTTAATGAATTTAGACGTATTCAATCAGGATTTTTACTGATTCTCTAAAATTTAAGGTCTATTGAATTAGAATTTTAAGATAGTTTATTAAAATCTTTAGAAATCCGGGTGTATTCAATAGGGATTTTAAAGAAGTTTATAACATTCCAGGTATATTCAATTAGAAATTGAATTTAAAGAATTTGAGAAAGTTGAGGAATTAGAGTGAATTTGAGAGATTTGTAGTGTATTTTAAGCATTCACAAATCTCACCTCTTTCCATGAGATTTCAAGGGAATTGAATCAAAATTTTATATGGAATCTCTACAAATCAATTAAACTCCATAAAAATCTATGGATTTATAAATTCATTAAAATCTCTCAAATTCTCAATTGAATACACCCCCTAAAAAAAGCTTGAGAATGAGTGGAGCTGAAGGGCAGTTTGGTCAAATCACCGTTGGTGAACCGTGCTCATCTCCTGAATTTAGCCCCAGTTTGGTAGTGAGGTGCTTAAAAAAAAGCTAGGGTGAAAAAAAGCTAGAAGGATTTGAGGTGTTTGGTAAATTTTCCAAAAGCAACTTTGTTTTAAAGCTGAGGGTGAAAAGAAGCCCAAAACCGGAAGCTGCTATTTGCAGCTTCCCAAAAACAGCTACAGCTTCCCATACCAAAAACACGGGTGAACAGTGTAGGTTTAATGAATTTTTCAATAATCCAAAATTGCCCTCCTTCCTTACAGTCTCTCCTCTCCGCCTCTCTCTCCTTCTCGCCTTCCTCCTTTCTTTCCTTCAGTCTACTCTCCTCTCGTATACCCGAACCAGGAAACCAGATCTCTCTCGTTCTCTCGTTCCAAAACCAGCGTTCTCCCTTGTTCTCTCATTCTCCAAGTTCGTTTGGTAAGTTTCTCTTGTAAATTTTGTTTATTTATTTGTTTGGATTTTTAACATTGGGGATGGGAGAGGGAAAAAGGGGTGGGAAGAGCAAAGGGATGAGGGTATGGGTGTCGGGAAAAACAATTGGGGATGGAGGGTGGGGAAAAATTAATTGGGGAAGGTGATATGGTTTGTGGAAAAAAATAATTGGGGAAAAATTAGGGTTTGTGGAGGAAACAAGAAAAATTGAGAATGTCTGCTTCTGATTTGGGTTTAGGTAAAGGATAATTTTTTATAAAGCTTTGCTCTGGTTCTAATCTGTGAATTGTGCTTCTGATTTGTCATCCCTTTGTCAGTGTTCGTATCGTATCTCTCTGGAAGGAAGTGGGTTTCTGAGGACATCGCTGAGGCTGTACTCGAACAGGTGGGTTATTTTTGTCTTGGTACAAAATTTGGTTTTCATGTTTTTGATAAATTTGTTTTGTGATTGCATTTATATGGTATTTGGTTTATGTGTTTACGTATTAGTTTGCACTTGAAATGAGTTTTCTTTCAAGCATTTTGTAATTTTCGTGATCATATTCGATTAGTGGTACATATCCTCTCGTGAAACCTAGGGATTAAAGTAGAAGACCAAAACTTGAAAGAATGAAATTAGGGTAGCTGATTTATGTTAAATTTGAGCATGGAGTGTTTGCAGCAACGTTGATTGTTGCAGGCTGGCCCAGCTGTATCCTACACAAAAGAGAAACTTTTGACTGATAATTCCTACCGCAAGTTTCAAATGTTTACAACTTCAACCTCTAAATCATAGCTTTGTAAAGTACTTACCAGGTTACATGATTTCTAACGTGTCTTATGGTTTTAAGCAAGAAAATGCAATGTCAAACAAAGAAAATGCATTCTGCAAACCCAAAAAACATATGATGCCCCAAAATGAAGTCCAAGATGAACAAAATATCTTGATCATCATAAGTTGGGTGCAACAAAATGCTTCCCAAAGTTCAGCCTGCTTGGAATTATGTCTTTAAGATTTATTGCCAAAATTCAACATGTCAACATTATACAGTTGAAAGCCACTGAAAACACTAACGAAAATAAGAATAAAAAAACTGCACAATTCCAACTACAAAAGGGAAGACAAAAAACAGTTGTTAAAAACCAGAGGCTCTGTCACTTACGTGTACTGATGAAGAAAGTGACGCACATAATCAGACACAATTTGAGAATCAGCAGCCTGAGAACAGAATATTAGACAGATTAATGACAGAACAGAGCAACTACAAAGTCTATTACCAGCCACCCAAAAAAAGGCCTTGTTACTTAGCTATCGAACAATGTTCCTGAGAGATTGAATGATTCAAAAACAAATTAAGCAGGAGTAAAGAGAGATAAAGAATGAAATAGGTAGAAGTGGTTAGGTGTTTGTTGGTTAGGATTAGATAAAGAATGAAATAGGTAGAAGTGGTTAGGAGTAAAGAGAGATAAAGAATGAAATAGGTAGAAGTGGTTATATGTTCAGGTGTGTTCATCTTCTTTTCTTTTAGGTTTTTTGGTGTTTGTTGGTTTGGCTTTCAGCTCTTACTTGAAACAAGGTTTTTCAGAGATTAGGATTAGATAGACTACTTGTTTCATTTCTCAGTCTTCTTGTCTACTAAAAAAATAATAATAGTCAAGTGAATATTTTTATCTTATTCATCGTGTGAATTTTCATGTATTTTTATGGTTGATCTATGTGTTAATGAATTTTCATGTATTTTTATAGTTGACATTACATTCTGAAATTCCAAAGAATAATCGAACCACTTTTCAAACTTATATGTTAATTAACATAATTTTTTTTCTTTCTATAATGTGGTCCTTTTTATTATAAGTTTTCTCTTCTGTTCAAACTAACTTCCACTTAATGATTTAGTGTGATGAAATGTTTATTTAGTCTAGAATGCTTTAATGGTCGTAAATTGTTGTGTCCGAGTAGTCTTATATAATAAATAGTTGTATGGAAAATCACATGGACTAAAATTACATTTGGTAAACCTGAGGGGTATCCATATAAGCATGTGTTGGTAAACCTGTGGGGTATCCATATAAACCTGTGAAATTTAATCTTGTGATTAATGGTCCAGTTTTTTTCCCAAACTGTGATGTAATCTTTTGTAGTTGTATGTGCATCGTTTATTGGTTATTTCTTGGTTATATTACAAATCAGTAGTTGGTATCAATGGCAAAGAATGGGGCATCTTCGTCAAATCCTATTGCTACATGGAATGTCCACAATATATCTATATTTTGTGATATTTGCATTAAGGAGGTTGAGGCCGGACATCGTCCGGGCACTCATTTTGACAAAGATGGATATGCAAATATTAGAGCTAACTTCAAGGCAGAGACAGGGCATGATTATGAAATAAAGCAATTGAAAAATAAGTGGGATGCACTTAAAAATGAGTGGAAGTTGTGGAAAGAGCTAGTTGGTAAAGAAACTAGCCTAGGGTGGAATTCGAGCAAGGGTACCGTTGATGCCTCTCAGGAGTGGTGGAATAATAAAATTCAGGTTTGTGTATTTATTTTTTAATATGTATTATGATATCATGCAATATGGCTTAACCATATTCTTTCTTACTTGTAGATAAACAAAGAATATGGAAAATTCCGAAAAAAGGCATTAGTCCTGAGATGGAGGACAAGTTAGATGGGATGTTCTCGAATACAGTTGCTACCGGCGAACATGCCTGGGCACCTTCCTCTGGAGTACTACCACCAGATACAAGAGATGAATCTATAGGACAAGTTGATTCAGATGATGAGGATGAAATTGAGACCATGCAGGATATAAGGCAAGCTAGTAGGAAGGGAAAAAAAGAGCGGCTAACCAAGGAGAATTGCAAAACAAGAAAGGGAAAAAAATTGGAGGTGCTGCAAAACTTTGTGGTCAAATTGACCATCTTGTTGAAGTTTATGAAACTAGGAGTTCTACAAACTCATTGATGTCCAAACTGCATATAGGAAATAGTATTTCAGAAGTGTTAGCGACTATTGCACAATTGCCTGGTTGTGAGCCACCTAGCGAGTTATGGTTGTTTGCTACATGTTTATTTTATAACGCAGAGAAGCGAGAGGTGTTTGGCACGATGAAAGATCCTGAAGTCTAGCTAACTTGGTTGAAATATATGTTCAACAAAGAACAATAGGGAGCTAAAAGCCGAAAACTATGAATTAGGACTATATGTGTGGTTGTACTTTGCATTAAGATTATGTATTGAATGTTACTACATGTTTATTGAATGTTGGATTATATGTTGAATGTTGAATTATGATTTCTTGTTAAACGTTGGTGTAGACATCGAAATTTCGTAAATAAATGTTGACCGATAAATCAAAGTGTCAACGCTCATGTATTACATAAATTTTACACGTAGCGTGTGACTCAACGAAAATTGAAATGAGTTGGAAAAGTCATCAAATAGGACACGTGTCAACACCTGGCAGAAACGACTTATTTCATCTGGGATATTATATTCAAAATTAGGCATTGGAAAATTCTATAAATACAAGCCCATTTCATTCATTTAAGGGAACCAATTCATATTACACCTTGAAGCTCTGAAGCTCTGAAACTCCGAAGCTCTCAAGCATCCAGGTTCCCGAAGAATCAAGAAAGCCTTCTTCGTTCTTCGTTCATCGTTCTTCCAAGATCAAGCCCCGACGACCCTTTGGATCAACAAGCATCCACCAATTCAAGATCAAGCCCCGACGGCCCTTGAAGAAAGCACCATCGTTCATCATCAGTTCATCCAAGATCAAGCCCCAACGGCCCTTTGGATCAACAAACGTCGACAAATCCACATATCCAACCGTTCTTCAAGATCAAGCCCAAAAGCCCTTGGAGATCCGTTCGTCACTGTTCTTCAAGATCAAGCCCAAAAGCCCTTGGAGATCCGTTCGTCACTGTTATTCAAGATCAAGCCCAAAAGCCCTTGGAGATCCGTTCGTCACCGTTCTTCAAAGATCAAGCCCAAAAGCCCCTTTGAAGATCCGCTCAAATCCACCTTCAAGATCAAGTCCACGGCCCTTGAAGAACGTTCATCCTTAGATCAAGCCCAACGGCCCTTTGGA